AGAGAGGAGAAAATCACCATTTTCCATAACAGAGAAGTCAAATATTACTTTACAGAAATTGTGACACTGCAGAAGAGGCACAAAACTGATGGGCTGAAAGTCCAAGTACCTCTGTATAGGCAGCAAGGAGGTGCAAGCAGCACCATGGTCAGGGTGCAACTTCAAGGAGACAGTCATTCTTACAATCTAAAAAAATCTGGAAAGCTCTGAGGATGACCCCATTAAAAAAACAGGCAATACAGACTTTGCCCTGCACCTCTGCAAACGTCAAAAAATAAAATTATCTACAAAGATTTTTTGCAGTATTTTTGGCATATCCCATTCAGCCCTCTCTTCTGTATCAATGACAAAGAAACAACAACTCGAGCCCTTACAGAGCCATCCAGAGCAATCCTCTTATAGATCAGATCATCCCTGGGAGAGCAGGAAGGCTGAGCAGGGCACTGGAGGCTGAGCAGAGATGACAGCCATATGCCACTTGGCAGAAGTCAGGGGGTTGTTTGTTGCTTTTTCAGTCTCCCAATTCTAATGAATTATAAAACAGAGCCTAAATTAACAGTCAGGAGGACTTTGTCAGGGCCCCACACTTTGGAGATGCTCATCGGGGAGGATCTCTTTCAACTGTTTGATTTGATCAAAGGTTCCTGTTTTTCAATTGACTTCTGTGCACTCCAGAGTTTCCCTAAACAAGAGCCAGGCTCCTTCCCAGGGACAATTTGAATCCCAGTGAGGTGTCAGTCTCTTCTAAAGGACAACTGCTTGGAAAGCAGGAGTTTTTGCATATTAATACACTCATACAATGATGAAGGATGGGACTGGCAGTCTGTACTCTTCAGCAATTTGGTACCAGCTAAAGCAATACTGAAAGGTCTTAATCTGTCACAGAATGTACACATTTGATATCTAATGACATCAGAACAATGAGACAAGTCCATTATCTGCGCTGGGGGTAGAAGAGGTGAAATGGTGTTACCCCAAATTGTGAGAAAAGACAAAACACACTGAGCTTCAGTGTTTTTGAATGAGAGCTGTACTCAAGAAGTTCAGCACTTGCTGTATGAGACACTGGATTCACCCAAAGATTGTGCTGAATTTCATGAACAAGAAATCTTCTCATTTACCTTCTTAGTCAAAATCTTCTCATTGGCAGACTGGGTCCTGCATTCCCACAAGGCTGCCAGAATAAAACTCACCGTGTGCACACAGCTCAGCCACAAAGGAGAAAAACATTGCAGGTCAGAGCTCAAAACTGTCTCTTTTAGTGTCTACATAAAGCCACATTTCACACAGCCAGCTAAAAATACGGAATAGGTACAAATCAAGGCAAAGAAACAATCCCAACTTAGAGACCTTCTACCATCCCCACCTTACAAAACAGAAATTTGACATTGGGACCTTGTGGTTCAGGTTTTCTTCAAATCCAGAAATATGAATGGGGTGTGAAGAGCTTTGCAAAATTCTTGGACTGAGATTAGAACAATATCACAGAATCACAGAATCATTTAGGTTGAAAAAGACCTCCAAGACCTCCAAGCTTAAGTCCAATCTCCACCTTGTCACCAGCCCAGAGCACTGAGTGCCACGTCCAGTTCCAGCGTTCCTTGGGCACTTCCAGGGATGGGGACTCCAACAGGAAGGGGACAGCCCCTTCCAAAGTTTGACAGCCACTTCCATGAAGAAATTCCTCCTGGTGTCCAACCTCCCCTGGTGCAGCATTAAGGAACCACAAAAATACCCAGGTAAACCAAGCCGTGCAAGGCTGTGGTGTGCGAAGTCTTCTGAGAACAATTCCATCTTTTCCAGGGGTAAAGTTATGCTCTCACTTTTGGCAAATTATTATGGAAGAACCACGTGGAAATTCTGTTGATCCGAGCTTCGATGAAGGTTTGGGAGAGTTTCCACCAAGCATTGCCATACCACACAGATGCCTGAGACAGTTGTGAAGGATTCGGGTGTCTCCATGGCTCTGTGTCACATGGAGACAGGAGCTCATTCCCAGAAGGAATTCAGCCACATTAGCATGGCCTCCTGCCTGGGCTAATTAGGTGATGCTTCCCAGCTGCCAGAAATCCGAGAGTGAATCACACATCTGCCACATGCAGCCTTCTTCTGAAAGCACAGACTGGAACGGTGCTGAACCCCAGTTGTATGAGGATATAAAGACATAATGTCATGATTTTACTTTGGTTTAGAGCCAGAAAGGATCAGAAATTCAGCTGATGAGTTTATCTGACCTGTTTTCACAACTACTACACTTCATCCAAATATCAGTGTGCCCAGATAATGAACTTCAGTCATCCTAAAGCCCTGAAGTACTTCAGGCACTTCCCTGTTCTCAGTAGGCCACATGCTGAGCCCAACCACTGCCAAAATCAAGAATACAGACATGGCAAAAGACTGATTAGGTGGGTGTTGTCCAAATTATTTCAGCAGAAATCCATTCCTCATACCTGGAAGATGAAGAATCATAAATTCCTGTCCATCAGTCCCAGCTCTGGCAATCAGGATGAATCCAATCATATGAGCAAAACAAGTGGACCAATTGTCCTGATGTATCAAAACAACCAGCCCATAAGAGCCATGGAAACCCAGAATGGTTTGGGTTGGAAGGGATCTTAAAAACCATCTCACACCACCCCCTGCCATAGGCAGGGACACCTTCCACTATCCCAGGTTGATCCAAGCCCTGTCCAACCTGACCTTGGACACTTCCAAGGATCCAGGGGAAGCCACAGCTTCTCTGGACACTGTGTGCCAGGGCTTCAGCACCTTCACAGAAAGTAATTTCTTGCCAATATCCCATCTAAACCTACTTCCTTTCAGTTTGAAGCCATTCTTCTTTTCCTCTCACTCCAGACCCTTGTAAATATTCCTCTCCATTTTTCCTGTAGGCTCCCTGTAAGTATTGGAAGTCTTCAATGATTTTGCCCTGAAGATTCTCTTCTCCAGGCTGAAAAAAAGAAGCCACCCTCTGGTGATGGCCAATTTCTGATAATCCAAAGAAAAAAAAAAGAGCAAGAAAACCAAAAACTGGTAGGACAGGAAGAAAAACTCTTTCATAAACTGTACAAGAAAGCCAGGAAGGCCCAGCAGTGTGATTTGAGGGTGGAGATTGTTTTAGAATCACACAATCCTGGAATGGTTTCGAAGAGACCATAAAGATCACCTTGTTCCAACCCCCTGCCATAGGAAGGGATCTTTCTCAATGCAGAGCTCCAGGTTTTTTCAGGAATTGTGCAGATGAATTATCCTGAACACAGCTCTAAAGGAGGGGGTTGGAAAGGGAGGCTCATAAATCATCAGCATGGGCCACTGCATTCGACAGATTAACAGGATTCCTTCTCCTGACTGGAATCAAGCCCCTCTTTTAAAATGATGGATTATCCCATCTGAAAGACTCAAAAGGACAGTGATGGAAAAAAATTCCAATGCTTAATTACACTGAGGGATGTGAAGATGCTTCATCCCACAGCGGAGCTTTCCAAACTTCAGCTCCCAGCTACTGCAGCTTGTTCTGGTTTGTCGGGGTCAGGTGCTCAACCTGGCACAAGGCACCTGCAAGGATGACTTGATGATACAATCACAGAATATCCTGAGTGGGAAGGGACCCACAAGGATCATTGATCCAATTCCTTGGGGTCTCCCAGGACACCCCAACAATCCCACCCTGTCCCTGAGGGCGTTGTCCAAATGCTCCTGGAGCTCTGGCAGCCGTGACCATTCCCTGGGGAGCTGTTCCAGTGCCTAGCCACCCTCTAAAAGAAGAACATTTTTCTGATATCCAACCCACCCTGCCATGACATGGTGTTCTCCCTCTTTAATGTGTCTGTTCCCAGCACTGGGGCGGTTTTCTGGGCTCTATATCCTTTTTTGTCCCTCTTCAAATCCCCAGCAATATTTCCACAGATCCCTGGGATGGCAACAGAGGAACTGCACAAAACGTTCTGATTTCCTGGCCCTGCAGACAGAAAATTCCTGACTCAAGCCCTTTCCATACAGGCAGAAGTTGCAATAACCACTTTGGGCTCAGTGGAAGACACTTATCCACAATAGTCCCTGGATCCCTCTTTGAGTTTCTCTTTCCTGGGATGGCATCACATTTTGGAGGTATCATCTGCAATTTTTTTGTTCCCAGATGCGGTAACAAGTGGCATAATTACGATGGCTGTTCAAATATTGAAATGAGTTACTTGTGTGCAGCGTTTCTGGGAAATGGGAGAAGGGATGAGGTTTATTGGAACTCTATAAACATGCAAAATGTTTTCTGCACACAGTTTCCCATTTCTGTTTGAACAGATGTGGGTCGTGTCAGCACAAAACCCCTGCCAAGAAGGATAAATTAAATCCAAAGGTTTGGATAAGGCAGATAGGTAGAATGATCCACTGGTGTCTCTGCACAACATCTCTAAGCCCTTTTTGTTCTCTTTTTCTAATCATAAAATATACTCAGTACTGTTGAAAAATGTAAAATCCCAAGCTGTGATGAAGGATAAAGGGCCTGGGTAGAAATGAAATAAAATAAAATAAAATAAAATTTTAAAAACTAAAATAAGGTAAAATAAAATAAAATAAAATAAAATAAAATAAAATAAAATAAAATAAATAAAATAAATTTTTAAAAACCAAAATACAGCAAAATGAAATAAAATTTAAAATACAAGGTAAAAATAAAATAATAGAAATTTTGAAATTGCAAAGAAATACAGTCTAATTGAAGAGACAAAATTGTCATAATCAAAGTTGAAGAGAATTTTCCATTGTCTCCCGTGCCACTCTGTGGGAATTTTCCCAGCCCAGGCAGCTGTAAGGGAGGAGGGGCACTCAGAGCTTCTGTGCTCCCATTCTCCCTCTCCCTCTCTTTCTCTGTCAATAAATGTCTGCAATCATATTCCTGAGCTCCAGTGTGATTTCAAGGTTCATCTCTTCCATGCAGCTCAAACACTAATTATCCCAGCTGTAATTAGTAAGATAATTAAATACTGGCTCGCTCATCACTCTACCTTGTGTCGGGTCATGATTCTCCCAGAAGACCTTGAGCAGTTGCTCAAAGCTGATGTTTTGTGGCTCAAACACCACCCGGACGGCCTCGGTGTGCCCAGTTCTGCCTGCAAATTCAAAATAAAATCAGATTTTAGCATTGACAATTAGCCGGGCCACACTAAGGGTTTCGTCTCTGCGATTCCAAGCACAGTCCTTTGGTTTTGTTTCATGTTTTCCTAAAAATACTTTGATTTAGCACCATTTTTACCTGAGCTTTTTTGCACAATGTTTTATATTTATGTCAACTCTACTAAATCTATTTGTTCAGACAGGGCCATCGTGAAATAAACCATGCAGAGAGACGAGAAGAGAAAACAGTGATGTTATTACAGCAGTTTTTTAGCTTAAAGGAGAAAAAATTAATAATTCTAGCAAATATATAAGTGAAAACTAGCAAAATATTTGAAATATTCCAAATAGAGCATTAAAATATGAAAACTTCTATGTCTAAGCTGTCTTGACTGGGTTTGTTTCCATGGAGAAATGGATAATATAATTGATTATGAAATAATTATCATTACTATAAAATATCAATAATATTGATTATGATGATAAAAACAAATGTCAAGGGTGTGTTTACACATGATCATACAAATAATTCCAAACTGTTTCACAATATCCTAGGCTCAAAAGCGTCAAAGTCTGGCTGAACAAATTTTATGACAGCAGAAATGCAAGGAAGATTAGCAGATGTTACAGCACTTACAAAAATATTATTCCTATTTTTCAGTTACACTTTGGATAATTTTTTTTTCATTTCTGACTTGTGACTCACAGTATTATTGAAAAATCCAGCTTCTGAAGGATCTGGCCACACAATTCATTTAAATTTTAATTAATAGTGCTATTGATAAGTACTCAGACTTCTCAGGTGACAGTCCACTGCACAAAGTGCATTTTATGTTTTATATATGTTTTATATTTTATAATTTAAAAATTAGATGTTTGTTGTCATTACCTATTCATGAATGGGGGGGAAAAAATCCCATCCTTCAATTAAATCATAATATGCAAACATCAAAAGAATAAACTGGATCTGCCTTTTGGTGGGGACATATTAAGCTCCTTGATCACATTAGGAAGGTTTTTATTTAATTTACCCCAGCACAAACTCCAGATTTATTCCACTGATTTAAACAGAATCAAGGAATTCCACACAGGGTGAATCCAGCCCAGTGCTGGCTCCTGAATGAGCTGTCACCAAAAAAGAAAAATCAGATTTTGTGAGTAACTGAGGACGGTTCAGTAAAGGCATGAGGAGAAATTTGAATTTTAATAAAAAACAAAAATAAAAAGGATGCTGGGAAATACTAAAGAGCCACGATAGGGCAAAGTGTGACACTGATTTTATCAGTTAATGGGGCACCTGAAACAAAACCTAAACAAGGTACAGAGGCCTGGGCCAGATGATAAAAGGGATCTGAAAGACTGGGATTAAATTTAGTCTGGAATGCAGAGGAGTAAAGGAGGACACATCTGGGATATCTGAAGCCTAGATTTTATAAAATCAAATTGCTCCCTATCTCAATGTGTCAAAAATCTGCCCAGTGAGATTAAAAGAGAATATCCAGGTTTCCTGGGAGCTGGAGTGAAGCCAGGTCCCCCTGTCCTGCAGGATGTCCCCAACTGTGACCCAATTCCTCTCTGCCTTTTACAGTCCAGGGAAGCATCTCATTACCTGAAGCCAAATTCGGATGGTGGGAAGCAGGATCACCCATTCAGCAGAATAAAAATACATGTTAGAGCTAACTGACTTAATAATGAAGTGAAATGGTCTTCAACACGAAACGATGGCCAGCTTAGGTCAGGGATGGAATTTATTCCCGATATCGTGGTTGAATGTCATTGATCAGCAAAAACAATTAATTTGGTGGTGCCCAAATTGGGACTTTTACTGTAGTTAGAGGAAAAAAAGGAGAGACCACGACCAGGGGCGTGTCCAACTTGCCCAAGCCAACATTGTTTTCGTTAGTTTCGTTTCGCAGGCAGAGGGTGGGCATGGAACATCTCTGTGGGCATGGCACATCTCTATGGGTGTGGCACAGCAGTTTGAGTGGTAAAGAGGGGTGTGGCACATCTCTGTGGGCGTGGCACAGCAATTTGAGAGGTAAACAAGGGCATGGAACATCTCTGTGGGCATGGCACAGCAATCTGAGAGGTAAATGGGGCGTGGCACATCTCTGTGGGTGTGGCACAGCAATTTGAGCCATGAACAGGGGTGTGGCACTTCTCTGTGGGCGTGGCAGAGCAGTCTGAGTGGTAAAGAGGGGTGTGGCACTTCTCTGTGGGTGTGGCACAGCCATTTGCACGGCTGTTTGCACAGGCAGGGTTGTGGGTTTCCACCTGCTAGTGGAGTTTTTATTTTGTTGTTTGTTGGGGTTTTGTCGGTTGGTTGGTTTTGGGTTTTGTTGGGTTTCTTTTTTTTTGTTGTTAGTAATGGTTTTTACAAGATCAAAACCTGTAGTTAGTGAAAGTGTACGTAGCCAGATAGAACCCCCCAAAAAGGATGTGTCCAGAGCCCTTCCTGTGCAGAGTGTTTGAGTTTATCAGTGGTGCCAGGGGGCGTTCCAGAAGAAGCCTGCCTGTGTGGTGAACAGGAGAACGATCTCCTCTCTCTGGTGGCCAAGTTTAGGGAGGAAGTGGAAAGGCTAAGGAGTATTATGGAAAGTGAAAGGGAAGTAGATTGGTGGGGTTCTGCCCTTCCATCCTTGAGGGAGTCAGAACACTCCCACTCCTCCCACTGTCAACAGGAGGACACACCTGGTGGATAAAGGGGAGTGGAAATGGGTCCCACTCCACTCAAGGAGGTAACAAAAATTCCTCCCAACCCCCATCACTTTCAGAATAAGTAAGAGGCCCTGGATGAGGAGGGTCAGCCAGATGATGTAGAAGAAAATCATCTGCCCAGGGAGCCTCCCAGTTATGATTCATCTGGTGAATCACCACTTTTGACATCAAAAAGGAAAGAAGGGTAGTCATGGTGGGTGACTCCTTTCTGAGGGGAACAGAGGGCCCCATATATCGACCAGACCCACCCCACAGAGAGGTCTGCTGCCTCCTTGGGGCCTGGGTACAGGATATCACTGAGAGACTGCCTGGGCTGATTCAGCCCTCTGAGCATTACCCACTGCTTATACTGCAGGCTGGCAGTGATGAGATTAAAAAGAGGAACATCAGGGCAGTTAAAAGGGACTTTAAAGCACTGTGTCAAGTGGTTGATAGGGCAGGAGCACAGGTAGTGTTCTGCTCAGTCCCTTTGGTGGCAGAGAAAAACTATGAAAGGAATAGCAGAGCCCACATTATCAAAAAGTGGCTCAAGGGTGGGTGTTATCAGCAGAATTTTGGCTTCTTTGATCATGGGGCAACTTTTCCAGAACATGGCCTGCTGGAACAGGATGGGCTTCACTTCTCTGTTAAGGGCAGAATGGTTTTAGCTCAAGAACTGGCAGTACTCATTGAGAGGACTTTAAACTAGGTTTGAAGGGGGAAGGGGATGCAGCTGGGCTGTCTGGAAGCAGGCCCAAGGGTGGTAAGCCTGAGTTAGGGGTGAAATCAGTAACCAAGCAGTGGTGGAGTCCGAACCCCTGGATGTGTTTAAAAAAAAAGACTGGATATGTCACTTGGTGCCATGTCTTACTTGAGGTGTTAGGGCATGGATTGGACTCAATGATCTTGAAGGTCTCTTCCAACCTAGTGATTCTGTGTGATTCTGTGTGCAATTGTACAATTAAAATCAGATGAAAGAGTGGCTTCTGACTTCAGTATTTTCATTTTTTGTAAGCCAACATGAAGCTTATGAAAGGTTTTTTATCACTATGGAGCAAATTACTGGCCCAAAATGAACAGGTTTAGACCACAAGAAAGTTTCCTAAAGAACTTGAAAACAACAGAGGCATTACCTTTCCTCCTGACTGAAACAGCAATTACACCTTGTCAACACTGCCTGCTCCTGCTAATCCAGAAGTTCAAAGGATCAGCCTCCTTTTTTTCCCAGAATAAGGAAATAATGGTGCTCCTCTGAGAACCATAGCCTGACCTCATGAAAAATATCCTCAGATGTGTAGCTAAGAGACTGTTAGAATAGATTTAAAATCAATATTCACCCTCAGGGGAAAAGAAAGGAAGTAATGCTGCTGGTCCTACCAGATTCACATCTCATTTTCCTCAAAGCCTTTCCACAATACAGTGGATTTTCTTTCTGCTGTGGCTATTCCTAATAACAATCTTGGCATTGGTGACTTTTTGCATTAGGCTTGAGTCTGACTATGAAAACAGAATAATCCCATTTTGTTCGTGTCTCACACACTTGGTAAATCCAATGCCAAAATAACACAGCATCAACCCAGGTCACTACTCCTCTGTATGGTGAGAAAAATAATTGAAATATTTCTAATCAAACCTTTTTTTGCAAGAGTTCTTAAAATGGAGAGGCAGCAATCAAAGAGAAACAATAAGCCCACTTGTTCTCCAAAAACCCCCGTGTCTTTAACATTCAACAGCCTGACACTGAGGAGCTGCAAGGATTTCAAATGATGTGAGTGGGAGATGTGATTCCCTCAGTGACATCCAGCTCGTCACCTTAGTGCCTCCTTCAGAATTCCTCCTGAAATGTCCACTTATATTGTCAGAGAGTCACAGTGTCCTCAGTTCACCCACTGCTTTTAATTAGCAGATCTTTAATATCCCACAGCAAAAGTTTGAATGAGTATGAACACTTCTAGAACCCTCAATGTCTGGATGATATTTTTTAAATAATTTATGGAATTATAAATATGATTCTAAGTGCTGTTCACTGTGCAAACAGAAACTCTATTTATTGGAGCCATTATCAGATTTCCAGTGCTGGCGCTCAGTTCCTTCAGCTCTGGAAGGGTTTTAACCATTGAAGAACCTCCCTGCAGAAGGGAAGACTTTATTACACCGAGGCAGAGAGGGCTGAGTGCCAAGAGCAGATTGTCTGTTTATCCTGGATCCATTTCCCACTTAGAAAACACGGCCGCTCCCGGAGGATTAACTCCAGCGAGCTCGTTCAGTGGGGATTGCAACCCTGGCAAAAACGTCCCCC